CTAGGATTCTGAAACTGGGGTTCTGAAACTAGGATTCTGAAACTGGGATTCTGAAACTTGTATTCTGAAACTGGAAAGTCAGATTCTGCAACTGGTATTCTGAAACTGGAAGTCAGATTCTGCAACTTGCCTTCTGAAACTTGCAACTGGAGATCTCCACATCATGCAATAGCGTGTGCCTGTGACATCACCTTTGAAGCACATCCAAACCAACGTCATTAGACCCCCACCCAACCCCCCCCACCCCCCCATCCCCCCTTGTCCCCATCGTGTGATCTTGACATCACGCCAACCCCCTCAGCATTCACAAAGTTGCGGAATCCTAGTGAGGGAATCCACAATGTTGCGGAATCCTAGTTGCGGAACGCCAGTTGCGGAATCCCAGTTGCTGAAACCTAGTTGCGGAATCCTGACAGTTGCGGAATCCTAGTTTCGGAATCCTAGTTGCGGAATCGTAGTTGCGGAATCCCAGTTGCGGAATCCCAGTTGCGGAATCCTAGTTTCGGAATCCTAGTTGCGGAATCCCAGTTGCGGAATCCGACCAAACAGTTGCGGAATCCTAGTTGCGGAATCCTGCGCAGTTGCGGAACTCGACTTTATCCGAGATGCTGTTATACAACGTTTTGCCAGCTTGTCTATTAGGCTCCGTACCGTTCCTCCAAATAGTCTGCACCATAACCTCATTGCATGACCATGACAGGGCAACTTATGTACAGTACTGGAAAAGACTTACTTTTGTGCATTCAGGTTCTTCTGTCAAGCAGTTGTTACACCCAAGCTGCAATGAACCATCCAACATGATGCCGGCCAATAGCGGCAGTCACCGCCTTGGAAGCAAAGGCTTTTGAGAAGCAGGAGGAGTTGTCTACGGTACAGTTGTATTCACACGTATTCTCTGGACAAAACCTGCTAAACACTTGGAGTCTACAGTATATTATGCATAACATCACAATGAGCATAATTGGGCTAACTGGCGCAACATGATTCACCCAAAGCTATTTGGTACATCTCTCCAGGAAAACTCTGATTTCATCGGATCATTATATCAGAGGAGACTGCAGCCACATGAAGGGTCTTGAGAAGATTAAATAATTCATCTTGGAGCGCTCTTAGGTTGGAGGCCATGGCTATTAGGTTGGAGGCCATCGCTGTTGGGTTGGAGGCCATCGCTATTCGGTTGTAGGCCATCGCTTTTAGGTTGTAGGCCATCGCTATTGGGTTGGAGGCCATCGCTTTTAGGTTGTAGGCCATCGCTATTAGGCTATTAGTAACTCAAAATAATCTTGGAGCTTCTTCGAACTTTAAGAAATCAAGCAAACATTATCATCCGCACGGAGAAATCCAGTCATACGTCTCTGAACAAACATCCCGCTCTGCAATGACGAGAAACCAATATCGGTCACACGCCAAAGACTTTCCTGGACCAATCCACGAGTCGGAGGAAAGTCTCAGGACAGTAGAAAACTTCAAAGGTGAGAGTTGCAAATAGCATCAACCTGGAAACATCAAGAAGCCAAGAGAAAACTGAAATAGACATAATTAGCAAACACAATAATATAAATAACGTTTGGTTAACAACATGCTTCCCCTCATTGTGGTTAAGGCTACTTTGCTTCGTGTGAGCTGCCTCGCCGGTCCAGCTTTGGGAATCCACGGCCAGGCCCAGGTCACAAAGCCAAAACGAGGCCTTCTCTTCCTGGGAAAATACAAGAAACACAAATGGGTCTCCTTATGTCTCCTTGGGTCTTGTCAAGTCTCTTTCTGTAAACAACAGTTCTTAGTGCTGTTAGGACAGCTTGATCAGTGTCCAAAAACTCAATTCAATGAATACACCGGAACGTTGGACGACTTTGGTAATCTTCCACTCAGTGCAGAGTTTCTTGCAAACACATCGACCAATGCGCATGTTCGCTGTTTGAACGCCTGCCCATTGGCGCTGAGCATCCCGTCCTGCAACAAACGGATTAGCGCTGACAATTCGGTGAGACTACCCCGCTATCCACCATCCTCAAATTGCAACAAGGGGCACTGTGATAATTAGTGGTTAAACCATGGTTAAAATGAGGACACTTACACTTCGGTGTTTTCCTAAAAATTCACTCACGTGGGATCTATGCTAACTACAAGAATGCTACTACGTTTGCCTTAGGCCTTGGACTTAAGGTTCATCTTGCTACATTACAAGAATACCCCATGGACGACCCGAATGCTCAGACCTCTCCACGCTTAGGGGTTACAATCTTAAGAATGTGTTCTCGCACTTGAGCATCCCAAATTGCTCAGTTTCATGACTGTGAAAGGAAGCCGTTCAGCGAGTTATATGATGGGAAGAATCCTGAACTTTGTATTCTTTGGGAAACTGTCGATGCTCAAAAACCCGATCATCTCCTCAGAATCCTCGTTGCAAATCAAGACCTGACGGGACAGCAAAGTAGTTGATTAGATGCGCTCAGGGCGAAGAGATTGCTCGGGGCGGTCCACCCGACTGCAAACACTCGTCTCAACTCAACTCTCACAGAACATCATGATGATAACAAATAACAAACTTCAAAAGCAAAACGACTCTGAAAACTGCAAAAAAAAGATTACGACATATTATAACGACACTGAAGAGGTCCCAAGACACCCTCAAGCCTCACGCCCCGACAAATGCCCAGAGCTAGCGTGCTAATTTATTCTATGAGTGACCCATAACTCTTCCAACAATCTTCCAGGAAACCCTAGCTTAGGCCTTGACAATCTACACAAGTCCAAAGAAAGTGGTTCATGATTGACTGCAAGCTGTCCCCACCCAACCAGGCTGCTTTCTCGAGGTCATTTCAAGGCACATGTTGCATTCCTGCTTGATGATGTTGGCGGCAGTGGTGGCGGCGGCCGTGGTCATGGTGACTTGCTGTTGATGTTACCAGTGGGACCTGCCATGGATGTTCCATTGTGGCTGGCTAATGCCGTTGCCATTGCGCTTTGCCATTGATATTGCCATTGTGGTTTGCCAATCTTTGTGCCTTGGCATTAATTACTGCTGTGATTTTGCTGGGCCCTGTCAATTATCTTGCAATCGATGCTAAGAACATGTTATTATGTATGTTGCTGTCTGTCGTTTTCATTGTCATTGTGGCAGGTCATTGCTCATGTCACTGTGGTTTATACTTGCTATTGCAGCTGTTATTTCTCATTATAATAACGGATATTGTATATATATATATATATGATCAGAGGGGCTTGCAAAAATGACTTTCACTTTTTTTTGACTCTCAGTTTTCTTGTTTCTGATGCTAATGATTTTGATTCTGATACTAAAGAAGAGGGGGAGGAAGAAGA